ATATTTTAGTTTCATAAAATTTAAAAATGTGTAATGGTTTTTCTGGTTTTCTTGTTTTCTGAAAACTAGGATGTAACCATAACTAATGATGGTGCAACTATTCTGAAGTTGCTGGAGGTGGAACATCCTGCTGCAAAAGTCCTGTGTGAGCTGGCAGATCTGCAAGATAAAGAAGTTGGGGATGGGACCACCTCTGTGGTATGTAGAAGCTTCATCTGCAGATAGCATTGCCTGATTAAATGGCTGACTTTTAGAATGCCTGTGGTTTGCATACCTATTATAAATCCTGTTGCAGTGGGGGTTGAGCCTATGCTATTTGACAGTGTGGAATGGAGCTAAAATCTGTGTTTTTCCACAATACAAACCATCAGCAATATGCAGAACAAGAATAACAGAAGACAGGAGCACAATATTAGCATCAATGTTGTTAAGCGCGTTAAGCTTGCATCCTCAGGAAAAGTCGTTCTTTATTCATTACCTGCAACTTGCAAATTGCTATTCCTTTTCCTATGTGAAGCTTGAAAATATCTTCTGGATGAGGTGTTCTTTGGTAGAAAGGTATCATCTTTCCAGACCCTGTAGTTACCATTGCACTAGCATAACAAAAAACATAAATAGTGGAGATAAACCTGTAAACTACATGAGCTTCCACCAATGTAGTAGAGAATTGTCCCTGAAAAAATTGGAGATAAAATTCTATAAATACAAGTTACATGGGTTGTCTCCCTCTGTTTATCCCTGCTTAGCTGTCTGCTGAACTTATTTACCTGCTCCCCTGTAACCTAGTGGTAATGGCCCCCCACACTAGGATCAGGCCCTGGGGCCTAGCGCAGCCACAGTTTAGCCATACTTGTTGGGATTGGATAAAGTTCCCCATGGGCGTGGAGATTTGATTGGGGGGTATGCCATCATTCCCCCACTGCCAAATTTCTGAACCCTTGAGGGGCCCTGTGGTCCTGATGACTAAGTGCCACAGGCCAGATATGGCCCAGTGACCAGAAGTTAAGCACCCTGATTTAAATGATGGGCAGCTCTTTCAAGCCATTATTTATCCCTTTGTGGAAGCAAGAACTGCTATGTAAATTTCACTCATTTTTCCACCTGCAATAGTTTGTTTTTGGCACAGAGGATTTGATTTGCCTGATGTTTGTTTTGTTTTCACAAACAGGTAATTATTGCTGCAGAACTTCTGAAGAACGCAGATGAATTAGTCAAACAGAAAATTCATCCTACTTCCATTATTGGTGGATATCGACTTGCTTGCAAGTAAGTCTGATTCAGTGGAATAACAACGTATTCCAGTTCTAGGAGAGCATAATATATAGTGAATGCATTATCTCATTTACATGTATACAGTGGAGTCGCATGTTACGTGGGGGTTAGGTTCTAAAGTCAGTGTGTAAGGCAAAAATCGCATATAGGCAAAATTACCCTTGAATATCAGCTGGCCTGCTCCTGGGACCTAGCACATACGTGTGGTGGGGGCTGCATGCATGCTAGGTCCCGGGAGCTGGGGGGCTTGCCCAGTGGTACAGTCTGCTCCCTCCCCCATCCAGCTGCTCCCAGTGTAGCTGCTTGGCCCCGTGCACAGCGCTGCGAGGGGCAGCCGCAGGCTGAATCCAAACAACTGGTACTCTGGGGCATACGTGTATGATGAATTTGCGTAAGTTAAATGTGCGTATGATGCGACTCCGCTGTATTTGTCAACAGTGCAGGTTCTTTTCTTATGGTGCTTGTTGGTTAAGGCTTGGGGATGTTTGTCAATTTTGTTCTACCACAGTATTAAGTATGTCCTGACAGGAAATTCTTGCTGTTTCATGTGGGGAAAACCAGAATTTTCATCAATAAAATGAACTAAATGTTTATGGGAGGAGGAGCTGGGGAAAGGGGTTGTCATAGGTATGAAACTGTTTCCAGAGGGAACAAATTTTTCTTTGTTTTTTATTCAACAGGGAAGCTGTTCGCTACATCAATGAAAATCTTATTATTAATACAGATGAACTGGGCAGAGATTGTCTTATTAATTCAGCTAAAACATCAATGTCATCCAAAATCATAGGAATGTATCCTTTGTGGTAGCAGAAAAGTAACATTCACTTAATTTCAAACAAAGCAAGGGAAAGCTTGAATATCTTGTAATCAGTCATTCTCCTGTAATTGCTCTGTATGCCCTTTACTACTTCTCAGCTGCTGTGTGTAAGTATCCCCATGGCCTTACATACTCTGTTGAAGGCTAACCTGGACAGCCTACTCCTGAATGGAAGAGGGCTTAATTGTCTTGGTTTAGCTTTTATTTATTGCAGGGTTATTGCAGAAACATGGACAGTTTGTGCTTGCAGTTCATGGGGTGGGGCTTTGCTGTTTTACAGTAATTGTTCATTTGTCCACTTCTACCCCACAGTAAAAAAATGAACTGGGATAACTTTCCTTCCACCATGCTCCTGCAGCGTAGCTCATATTGTGGGTTAAGAGTGGGCAGGAGTGTAATTACCATAGAACAGAAGTATAATAAATCTCATTTTCCCCTTATTCATGGGCACATGAACAGTAGTAACTGGGTATGCCTGATTGTACAAAATTATCTGATGGTAAATGTGGCCTGAAAAGATTTTGGAAACCCCTGGTTTTCACAGTGTAACATTTTAACAAAGTGTTGCAATTAGCCTACTTTAAGATGAGATTTTAGTTATTTCTTGTGACAGAAAGTGACATCACAGCTGCTGTAAGAGATTTGAAGGAGCTATTCTCATTTAAATCCTATATTTTTCATTTTTTCCTTTCTCAGCTGTAGAAAATAGGATAGTGTGTGGTGTAAACTTTGTTTTGGG